CTAGAGAGGCACTCCTCAGGAGGAGGGGCAGGTCTTCCGGAATGGGAAAGCTGGACTCCTCCGTTGGCAGGGGAAAAAGGGGTGATTTTCTCAGTATATTGGGGGGGGGGCTCCTCTGGGTGAGGAAAGCTGCGGGGAGGATGGGTTCCATGAGTGTGGAGGGGGACACTAAGGGATAGGAGATTCCACCTGTGGTCAGTGCGGCGCCAGCAGCTGGAGATGTGAGTTGGGACCACTTTAGTGGGGGTTCAAATGCAAGTTAAGGGATTTGAAAGGGAGAGACGTCATAGGGAGAGGAAGGCGTGGGCACAGGCCATGTCTCCACTAGGCCTAAGTGTGTGTGTGTCAGTGTGTGTGTGTCTGTCTGTGTGTGTGTGTCTGTGTGTGTAGGGGGTAGTGCACATGAAATGTTGCAGAGCTCTTATATATGTTGAGATTGACATCTAGAGCATTTCATCATGAGTTTCAATGTTTTATTTTTTGAATGGGAGGTAGAAAATATTAACAGGGTTAGGAATGACTGACTGTACGTTTATAATGTGCTGTGTGAAATGATCTGAGAAAATGGCTTCTAAAGCATATTCAAAATGTACCTTGAATCTTTGAATCAGAAGGCCTTTTTTAAAAAGGATCTGTGTGTCTTGGAAATTTTTTGGTAGCCCCAGAAACATCCCAGGTATATTTAAAGAATCATTGTCACTAACCTATTACTGCTTTGCCTGTTCCTGAATTCCTGTGGGCAAGCTTTACCCTTCACAGAAATGTGGATGAGGCTGAGAAACTCAAAATGCAGTGTGAAAAAATATACCTCGTGGGTTTAAGGCACCCAGGTAATCATTCAATGAGGTTTCCTGTATTCCTGTAATCTAACACCACTGCACACTCTCTTATTCATAATTCTGAAATTTAAAAAGCTCTGAACACTTAAGTTTGGCACCATTCAGTGGCAAAACTAGACTATGTAAGGTGGGACTATTCAGTCACACTACCTTACCTCTTTATTTCTCCTATTTAATGTGAAAATTCAGACTTCTGCTGCAGAATTATTGAAGTGTTTGATTATGACTTGAAGCCCCTGAATACACTGGGGGTGTTAGGTAATATGTGGGAGATACCGAGAACTACACTTGTAAAATAAAATAAAAAATTTCCAAAACACATCTGGTCCCCAGGGATTTCAGATCAGGGCTTGCTGACCAGTCTTTCCAGTTTGTTTGGTGCCCTGGATATTTTAACCTCATACCACCTACACTCTTGGGGCAATGCTCCTCCTTAGATGGGAGGTTGTTCTCTTTTTGCAAAGTGTAGAGGAGAGGAGGATTAGGTCCTGAACACTAGGATGGTTTTGCAGGCAGTTTTAGGAATAGTATAGAGGGAGTTGGGAGCTCTGGGAATAGATTCCTTTAGGACAGTCCATGCAGCAGATCCTACTTTGAGTTCTTTTGCTCCAGGAGTGGACTTGGATAGTGAGCATTGGGGTTGAAGGAGCTGGCACATTTTTGTGGTAGAAAGATCTTAGCATTTGGAAGACCTCTGGGTTAGGTTTCACTGACTCTGAGGGAGTTCTTTCGAAGTCCCAGGGAGGACTTGGTGTACTCTTTGACTCCTGGCTTTGCCAGGATGCCCAGTAATGTCTTTTGTGTTCTAGGCTGCAGTGTGTGTTGCAAATCTTCTTGGAATCAGCTACAGGACCTGTGCCGCCTGGCCAAGCTCTCATGCCCTGCCCTCGGAATCTCCAAGAGGAATCTCTATGACTTTGAAGTCGAATACCTGTGTGATTACAAGAAGATCCGCGTGAGTCTGGGGTGACCATGGCCGGGCAGGGGTGTCTCAAGGAAGCTGGCTTCCTGCTCCCTTGCCCTACTGTCTGCATTTGATTCTAAATGGAATTTTCTTCTCTGATCTTAAAAAAAATAGGATTAGTAGACCCTCTTCTCATTCCTGTCTTATGATGGAGAAACCTAGTAACATTCTGAGGGAGCCGGGAGCCAGGATGAATCCCCAAATAAGTTTCTCCTCCCACTTCTCTAAGAATACAAACCAGTTGAGCTGCTGAGCCCAAGAGTGGGGATGAGGATAGCTAACGGTTATTGAGCACTTGTGCAAGGTGCTTTCCCTCAGAAACTCATTTAATCTCCCCAACAACACTGTGAAATGGGAACTGTTATCATGGCCACAGGAGGTAATGTTAGGATAGTTAAGAGAACAGACTGGTGTTAGCACGCTTCAGTTCAAATCCTAGTCGTGTAACCCCCGGATACTTAATGCAAATTCTCTTTACTTTATTTTCCTTATCTATAAAATGGGGATGCTTAGTATTATCTACCTCATATAGAGTTGTGAGGATTATATTAGTTAATACAGTACATTAGAACAGTACATGCTACATAATGAATGTTAACCAAAAATTTTAAGCTTTTTCCCTTATTTACAGATGAGGAAACCAAGACTCAGCAAAATTAAATAACTTGTCCAAGGCCATACCACTAGGGAATGAAGGTTTAGAATTTGTGCCCAGGGTGTCTGTGTAGTTAAACTGTGTCCTATAGCCACCCCCAGCAAGAGAAGGTCCCTTAGGGTGCTGTTTGGAGAACAGACT